ATATATCTAGATTTATATATACATTTCTGTGGATCGCGTTTCTTTACTTTGAGTAACACAGATTGGTCGCGGGGCTGCCAGGCCGCGCGTTGTCTCCTCTCCGCTGGCCCTCTTGGTCCCGAACTCGGCCCGCTAGAAGGGTTGCGGATTCACACCGTCACACCACTCGCACAACACCTCGGTCCTGGGCAGCACTCCCTTCACCTCGGCCAGCTGCTGGTAACACATGGGTGCCTGGTGGAAGACATGAGCCCTCTTCAGCACGAGGCTCCACAGCGAACGCAGTTCACAGGGCTCCAGCAGCGAGTGCAGGCCCTGGCAGTGCCATGGCCACCCGCCAGCGCCCGTGCCCACATCCAGCTGAAGCTCCTCCAGAGAGCGGCCGTGCGCCCGCAGCAGGGACTGCAGCGTGACGCTGGGGAGGCGGTAAACACTAAGCCATCGCAGACCGGCCTGTTCCCACGGGAGCTCGGGCAGCACGGGGGGCTGCGCGTCCAGGGCATCATCCTCACACGACACCTCCAGCCTAGTGAGCCGCGGCATGGCGTGCACCGCGCGCAGGTGGGCCTCGCCGGGGTCGTGGAGACTCAGCTGCTCCAGCGAGGGCGCAGCGAGCTGCAGCAGCCGGAGGCTCCAGGCGGGGTCCGTGTGGCAGCGCAGATGGACCAGCCGGGTCACCTGCGGCAGAACAGAGTCACTCTCAGGGCGGGCGGTAACGTGTGGCACTGTTTGCAGTGTACCGGGCCGCTCCCCGCAGCCTCGTGAGGCCGTGAGGCTCGAGGCCCGGCGCACACTCACCCCTGGCGCGTCACGCAGGGCGGCGGCCTTCTGCTGCTGGTCGTCGTTGGGTCCACTGCAGCTGATACTTTTTACATTCATCTCGCGCGGGGGCGGCGCCTCGGCAGGTGGAGGGGACAGGGCAGCGAGGGGGGCTGCAGCTGGTGTGGGTGCAGCTGCAGCTGGTGTGGATGCAGCTGGTGTGGATGCAGCTGCAGGAGGTGGAGGCGCAGCTGCAGGTGGTGTGGGCGCAGCTGTAGTCGGTGGGTTCCGCGCAGCAGCTCGGTCCTGCACAACCACACTGGATGTAGTACAGCAGATAACAGTGCATTGCATGCAAGCAGTGCAGTTCATCCGAACGCATGCATGCATAGATTGCTAGAGGCTCATTTTTTTTGGCTGAAATTCGGTATCTTGTCGCCAAAAAACGGAATGTTAAAATTTGACACTCATAAAAATATTGATAGTGGTATCTGATCACACTTGCGACCAGTAAGGTAACTTAACTAAGGACAGGATTAATACCTTACAACTTAACGAACATCAGTCTCTCTAAGCAAATGTTTCGCTGGATAGGCGCACCTAGTTGTTCCAGCAGGACAAGCACAGCCCATTCGGTGGTGCAAGGGCGATCGCGGAGGTAATCTGCAAAGTTAAACGTCGCAGTTCGCTACATCGCCTACCTCGGTGAGCGCGGCCCTCGCCGCCAGCAGGAGGCACAGGGCCTTGGTGAGGGGCTCCTCGGCGTCCCGCAGGGTCCCCGTCAGCTCGCGACCGCCGCCCCGCAGCGTCACGTCCCAGGACTCGCCGGTCAGCAGGGTGAGGGCGGGCAGGGCCTGCTCCTCCCGACACTGGTCCTGGAGGCCCTGGAGCTGCTCGGCGGCCTGCGGCAGCGCGCGCTGCAGCTGGCGCCGCAGGGCGCTCCTGACGGGCAGGACGTCGTGGTCCTCCCAGCAGCGGGACGTGGCGGCGGAGCGGCAGTCCGAACACCAGCCGCGGGGAGGGCTAAGGGGAGGGGCACAAGTCAAACGATAAGGCTGCCGAACAACCGCGCATCCACGGTGTGATCTGCAGGCGAGCGAAGCTCACCTGTCCAGTCCGCGTTCCTCCAGCAACTGCAGTATCGCGAAGTTCGTCGGGAGTCCCTCCGGCGGGCCGTTGAAGTTCTATTATATGGGGAGAACAGGCGGGAATTAGTGTATGGTAGGGAGGCGGGGGCTACGGGAGGCACAGGGCCACCCCAGGACACTCACCTGGCGGCACGTCGGGCACCTGCTGTCGGGCAGCCGCCCCAGGCACTGCAGGCAACAGGTGTGTCCACATGGCAGCGACTTTGGCGCTCGCAGGCCGCCGTCGAGATCCTGGGTACATACGTTGCACTCCATCTGATAGTGGAAATCAACGAAATAGAGAAGATTGTTGGCTATAGACCTGCCGATCAAACAAAGGTCGTTTTCGGTTTGTTGTGCTAAATGCTCAAAGCAAGCTCTTGCCAATAAAATGCGCGGCACACCCGCCCGCCGTCCAGAACTAACGGACACTGGCATCCTCTGTGACAAAGCATGCAGGTTGTAGTTTAGGTACTCACTCGTTTGTCTGGTGAGGTGCGAGTTCTCGGCAGGGCGTCCCCCTAACCTCCCAGTTCTCGTGCGGCTCGCTCAGCTCCGAAACACAACAACACACAACCAGACCGTGATGACCGACCACGTTGGCGGTTTAATTTAGAGGAGACTGGAGGTAACTCGGCGAGTCACTCGGGTTCAGCTGAGGCTAAACTGAATTTGAGAGGTCCACGGCGTGTTGTTGTTGTTACCGGTGTCGGCAGTCGGCGTGAACTGAGTCCGGGTGGGCGGCAGGCGGCGATACCCCCGCCCCACACCACGGCGGCGCTACTCTGCGTCTTCTGGTGGTCGCGCCCCCTGGTGGCACCTGCAGCAGACCTTGAGCGAATGCCACTTCTGAATATTAAGGAATTCCCTCACAGAGAGATATATGCTCAATTAGGACTGATGTTCTGTTCTACACACGTTTGAGCTGTCCCATGATGTTACTTTATCTAATGTCTCATATATTCTAGAGTGTTCATTAATATACCGAGTTAAACCTTGGTTTCAAAATAATACAAAATAATAACAATAAT